CTGCTACACCCCTTAATATTTAATACCTAACTAACATTTCTATGACGCCGCCCTGATACAAAATTCAACTCAAATGTGACACACAATAGTGCTCTCTGTCTTAGTCGCGCTATAGGAGCCGCCCTGAACACTGTGAATTGCACTTACAAGAACCTTCGATATAAATTTAATTAATATCGATGAGTATATCAAGTGTCATTTCGATTTGTCACTTTGTTATATTTGTTAATAACGCTTCATAATTCATTGTAATTGTTAGTTTTACTTTTATTAAACTAATAACTTTTACGAACAACTTTCCATGTAGTAGCCGAAATATATTATTTAAGGATAAAACTCTTTTATCTCTTTTAATACGTTAAACCTAATCAATGCCACATCTGGTGTGATTCAAGTTTAACTGTGAGTTTCGTAATATTGATGTCAAGTTATCTAATACATTCTGTTCCAACTTTGATGCTTAGCGTGAAGCTATGAATGTGCATAAATTTGTTGTTGGTACTTATTGTTTCGTTTGTTAGGCAAAGTTTTTTAACGAAATCATGTTCCATGCATATACCATAAATTGCAATAACCAAATCTAAAAATATGATTCGCTCGGATCACGATTTCACGGTATATATTCTAAAATTGTCAGCCCTATAGGCAGGTAACATTACCGCTCGCTTATCGACGAACGGACGACGCGCGACGAGTCGATCGCTTCGATCGCTTATATCTGATTTGAATTTCGCGCATTACGACCCATCGAGCCCGGTTCCCGCCGCGCCCTCTCTAAACACTCAGACACTTTAAGTAACTCAGAAATTCGACGGAAAACGTCGACTCGCGCTTATCTTATTCCTTCGAACAACAGTTACGTAAATATGGAAAGAGTTCCCGGGGTGCGGCGGAGTATTTCATTATCCGTGACCTGTTGAGCGCAAGATTTGTGACTCATCTCCTTTACGTAACGTCGTACTCTCGCAATAGGATTTTTTTCTCCTTACGCTTATCAAATTTCGTGCGAGCGCTTAGCGTGTTCGACGTTAGAACAAACGATTTTTTCTCTCACTCTCTGATAGAAATCTATCTTCGCGTAAATGGGTCAGAATTTAATAAAGCCGACGTTGCCTTGTGAATTTGTTTCAAATAACGGTAAAGCGAATCCTTCGCGTTACAGAACAGTATAAAATTTGTCGACAACGCTGCAGAACGTATATTTTTTATCTTTAGGTATTTCCAAAGCTCTTACTGGCCTCCGGTTCCCACGCCGGGCTTCCGTTTAGCGGCAATCAGCCCTGGCTTGCGACGCTCTGTCAATACGAAGGCGAGAGGTTTCCCTGATAAACTTATCTGGCGCGTTCCTCCCCCGCCCTCACCCCGTTGTCTGCATTTATCTCTCACGTATGTTCGCACGCTTCACCCGCACCGCATCGACATCGCTCTCGCACAAAGTTGCTGGCTTGTGCTTTTCGACTTTTTTATCGGTGCGTTAAATCGCATTTATATGAGAGTAATTTTCATATAAATTATCTTTTCCATTTCCCCTCTTCATATAAGTGAAATATCGACGTTAAACGAATTTTGTTTTCCTTTGATTTCTGTATCCGCCGACGTTTGAATGGTGTTAGGTATCAAAAATTTCTGTCATATTCCAATTTATATTCACATAAAACAAGCAACAATAATTTATCCTTTTATAAAGTTGTCTATTTGGCTGCCTGCCCGTAGTCCACCGCAAGCATTTCGAACAAAACTGAAATTCCCCTACTAGGAACAAACGCATAATCTTATAAAATGCAGTTAACGTCAACACACATGCGGAATGCTTCGTTGAGCATGAACTCTTGAGAAGTTGCTTTATTTTCCTTCTCAGCGCCAAACTGCGAAGGAATTTCGAATGAGGTCCACTAACGCCAAACTTTCCACATCTCGAAAATCTTAGCGCTCAGCTGTGGCATGTGGCGAGAATCACGACAGCTTCAAACAACACAGACATTGTATTCATAGTAATTTAATTGAACGATATTTCTTTCATAGATAACTTACTATATTTCAGCCTAACTCAACCATAATTCTTTGGTACCCGCAATATACTATAACCTCGGCCGCCCAAATTAATAAATCAACACCCAGCTGAGTCTACTTAAATGCATCGACTTTATTCTTATTATACTCCAGACCGTTTATTTCATCATTCTTATTTCGACACATTTTAATGGTTTCTTTGCAGATCCGAAAAAAGTGGATTAAAACAAACATAAACCCGACCCCCTATTGCGCTAAAAATCATAATTCCGAAACACCAAAAACGCTAACGAAAATATGAACAATATGAAAAATATAAATACCTGAATAATGTTTTAAATAAAGTGGCAATTCATAAACACAACGTGTTCCGAAACGATTACAAAATCAATGCTCTTAAAAGGTAGGCAGAATTCTTTGCCTCCAAATTTATTGACATTACTGTTTTACCTTAAAAGGTTTTCACTCAAAATCAATCGAGCGAAAATTTAATGACTGCTTTCAGATTCGAATTAATTCACCTTTACGTGCGAATGTTCAGCGAAGTGTTGGAGCATAAAACGCGGTGTTTTCTCGCGAAACAATTAAATTCCTCATACATCGATGGGATTAGGAACGAGTTCGGTCGTATCTGGAGTTGGGTATTAAGACAGTGCGCACTGGAGCAGACCTTAAGCTCGCTCGGTTGAACCGAATCTTCGGTTCGAGCTTCGGCTTCGTACAGCACTCGATAGGATCGATATATCGGCAGAGGGCGCGCCTGCCTAGCCGGGGCTAAATACAATTTACCTTTGTTATTTTTCGTGTCATTAAACTGCGTTGCGATCTCGAATGCTCGATCGGGATTGCGAACTCCGATGCGAATTGTTTGTGAGCTTTTGTTTCCCACTCCGCTCGCCAGCGACGCGACATCAATTAACGTCGAATCCCCGCCGACTGAATTTTCTTCGTGGCCCTCGCTATTATTTGTAGGTAGATTTAAAATGGAATCATTTTCCACTGCTGAACATTGCTTACAACAGATTTTGTTTTGGTTTCTCTAAGGAAATTCTTCGTCGAATATCGGAGTGAGATAGCGAAGAGGACTGTTAACAAATTTCGGTGTCGCACTATCTTAGTTTTAAAGCAGGCGAGCATTTATTCTGGCATGTCCCCTCGGTTGCGTGTTGCCCAACAAATGGGGGATGCCCACGGCGCTGGCGGCCTCTGGCGTAGGCGCCGGTTCATTTGTAAAGCTTTATCGGACCTGACAAATGGCGACACTCACTATTTTTATGTCGCGGACCATCGAAGAATACCGTTCACGTTAACCCCGATTCGTATTTGTACAACTTTCGTACATGGTAACTTTCGATATTCAGCAAAGTTTGTAGAACACATACATCGTTTTCTAGAGATATTTTCGGAAAGTTCTCTTTTATTTAGGTGGCGAAGTTGTATCATTAATTATGTAGAGGCATAACCTTAGCTCTCGACTTATTTTACATGTTGATTATTCAGTCTTATCACACAAAACTCGGTGGAAAGACACTCAACACCGTAAAGCCCCGCGCGCTCTCGCCCCCACGTTAATGCAAAAGCACGTAGTTCTATGTCGTCGCAGAAAGTTGTGCAAAGTGCACAAAGTGCGCGAACGCCGTGGCAAAGCCTTCATTTGTCGGCTCGTGACGGCCGCGTGACAAATGTGGACGCGACTTTATACCCGAGGACACTTTGCGATTATGCGCCACTATGAAAAATGTTCCTGGCGCCTGTCTACAGAGTTAAATGTACTTTCCGACTTGTCATTAACTTAATCGACTATATTATTTAAGGAAATCGTAAATCCAAAACAAGACGCGAGAGTAAATTTAAAGTGATCTATCCACTGACTTTAATTTAAGCCTACGTACTTTTCTGTAACGATGCTACTTGGTAGCGAAAATCCTATTGCTAGAGGTTTGCGTTAGCGTAGATTGGGTAATTTATACTTGCCTCCTGCCCTCCCTGCTTGGGGGAGGGCTACATTACTGAATGGGGCTATAGTCTTCGATAAAATTACTTAATGAATCGATTAAGCTGCTTGATTCTATTTTATGTAAATTCTTCTTCAGTAAATTGTTTTATCCAAGTATTTTTGTTTACATTTTACCTAAGTTTACATTATCCAAAATCAAAAGTCCAATATTTTTTAACAGAAGGTGTATTTATTACTGTCGAAATAACTGAAAATCAAGAATTAAGGGGGAAAGGTATAAAGTCTTGTACGGTGGACCAATTTGTCTTGGTCGGTTTTTATGCTTACAAGCTTAACATTTTAAAATCGAGATTTAACGAGACTCTGGAAACACCTCATTGGTGTCAGTCTCTTGGATTCATGGCCTTTCGTAGCTCAGCAGTGTACTTAAATTCTGCAGTTACGGAAACGTGACAACTTGTCCTCAGTAATTACTTGGCTGCTCGTATAATTTGAGTTGCTGTATAATAAATATTTAATGATAAGCTCCTTCACTTGGCGTAGCAAATTAAAATTCAATTTGTGATTCGAGCCGTGAAGCATAACGGATTGTCAACTGATTCCGTCACCCCCTTTCTTCCATAATTCCTTGACTTGCTCGCTATATCTCGAGAAGACAAGAGTATTTGTTCAATCCTCGAGATTTTATTAGAATCGAATACCATCATAGAGGTCAACAAAAATTACTATGAACTATGTTGTTGTGTTCGGATGCAATCTTGGGGAATGAATACTTAAGGCATTACTTTTAATAATATTTTTATTATTCATAGATTTTATGAATCAATCATGAAAAACTTCTTTTGGCACATTCTGCGCTATTGGGATAATGTAAAAAACTGATCTCGCGTGAAGGAATCAATACGAACATAAGAATTTAAAAGTGTTTATTACTATTTAAGCATTATACTGCTTGATGTCAATATCTGAATAATCTTGTTTCTAATGACTTTCTTTAGTCAGCAAATTAAAAGCAACTTTTCTTTTGTTCCAGGTGGAATGCAAAAAAGCACAGCCTAAAGAAGTCATGTTACCAGCGAACTTGGCGAAGACGAGAGCCGCCGGACGCGGCGCGTACGGTGAGTTGCTAGGTAGCGCCGTGGCCGCGGGCGCAGGTGTTCGATACGCGCCCTACCCCGTCCCTGCGCAGGCGCAGCTCCTAGTCGCGGGGTCAGGAGGAGCCTACCGCAGGGCGCTCGCTGCCCTGCGCCCCGCACCCCGCCCTCCTCGTCCCACAATCACCCCACTCGCCCTCCCACCTCTCACCTACTCCGTCTCCGAACTCCTCGGCGCACACGCACTGGATATACCCACCCTCTACTCTCCTCTCACTCACACCCTACCCACACCTTTACCCCTCTGATCCACGATCCTCTTCCAGCAACACCCGCACCATCCCTTCTAAGTAGGCCTGTTCTGGCTTTGTAAACTCACTTTAATCTTCATTGCATTCCTCTTTACCGCTTTGGTACACCGTTCTCCCTTTCTCTTACATTCCTACACTCCTCTCTTTCCATCCGCGATGACAATACTAGAGCGTTACCACAAGGGAACTGATAATATCCAAAGTGTCTTATTTTTAGTAATGCCATTAGAAAAGTCAGTTAGTTAGCATATTTTCGAAATGTGTACGACGATTTATATAGAAAAGCCATAGAATCATTTCTTATAAAATGGTTTACTTACATTTCTTAATTTTGATAAAATGTAGACAAATGAAACTGGATCAATTTTAAGTAGGGTTGATAGAGATCGATATTTTTCTACCAGGTAGTAGGTGCTTATTGCGATTTGATTTACAAAATAGATAGAGGAAATAGAACAGAGCCTGGTGAGTTTATGATTTTTAAGTAGCTTTTAATAATTATAACGTAAAAGAGCCTAACGGCTCTGCTGATTCTTGCCAGTTTGCTACATATCCATCCATATTGAAACTACATTATAACGATTAGCGAGAGTCTAGTTACGCCTTTGATTACAAAAAGTTGGTGATCCCAGAAATATTTTCATAATTGACTTTTATCTTACTTAGTTTATTTTTACTATGAATAGTTTTACAGTTGATGTCGGCTTTTCAAAAATGTTAACAGTGGATGAAAAGAGGTACCTATGATCTTTGGATGTTATAATGGTTTTGTAAAATGTAGACACTGTAACTGTATTTTAATTGACTCAAAATTGTTATGTAAAAAATATTAGCGTTGGTACTTAATTTATTTTATATGTGTGTTCTTAGTCACTTAAATATAAGCGTATTGATATTATTTGAATCCTTACTCTTTACATTATTATTTATTTATAACTGTGCATTGCAACATTAGGACCAAACACATTTTGTTTACTATTTTGTTATATTTAGTTGTACAATATTTTCAGATACTTCATTATTAACAGAAACTGTTGAATTAACAGTAAGGTTTTCATCACCCATCCAAGTTGTATTATCTAAAGTAGTACTCGTTAACTCATAGAATTAATTGTAATAACTTAAGTAGGCATTTTTCGGTAGAATTTAGAGTAATAAATATCATTTCTAAAGTATTTGAAAACGTCTGTTTGTTTAACATGTTTAGTATTAGACTAACAATGTGTAGAATAGATTAACACATTTGACAAAAGTGCGCCATCTTCGATGGGCGTTTTACTAACATCCCCCACAGTATCACTATAGAAAACAGTTTGGTGTTAGACATACTTAGATGATGTTGAATGCTCTTTATTATAAACATAAATTAAGTATGTATTATATAAACATATTAAATATTATAAGTAATATCAAATTCTCTCGCCAAGCAAAATAGTGTCTCATGGCACATTTAATTCTCTTAAAATGTTAAAGACACACATATATAAATGTAAGGTGTAAGGATCGATGGATTTATGTAAATGTTTTTACATTTCTAGATTTCATGTGGTCATTGGGTGCTCTTCCTGACGGTAAGTTAAATCATATTTTTTTTAAAGTCACGCCATTTTTTACTTCTCCTATTGCATCTGTCCGATCATTTCTCACACGTTCTGCAACTGACTATTGAACGTTGTCTTGCTTGCTAACGTTGTTGTGCTAACTGGGGTTAAAACGGGTCGCGGCATTAATCACAACTGGCTAACTCAGTTAATTGTTGCTAGATGTCGTTACATTTAATTAACAGTATATCAGCCCATCTGCCGTATGATGGATCACGTGGCCAGACAGATACACTATTTTGATTGGCAATAATATGATAAACGATCCGTTATAGTAATCATATCAGCCGATGTGCACGTCCGGCCATCATTCATTTAAATACATTTTATAACAGACTTCACGCTCTTGACGAGACTGTTACTACTAATTACTTGGTATTATTACTCTTTTTTTAAAGTAAAATGTGTTCATGTACTGTACATTTCAGCTGTTGGACTAATGTCATGTTTTTATATAGAGTAGTTCTTTGTTTGGTAATTTAGTAAGTTTGTTATTGGAACATGGTAGGTATCTCTTTTAAACGAAAGCAAAAAGCAATATTTTTATAGTCTGTAGAAGTGGACAATAATGTTTAGAAAATATCATGCGCTGGACATTATCCAAAACGATGTCGCACAAGCTCGCTATATTTGCCTATATTGGCTGTACAACGCCACTATTTTAGAATCGGGCCACCGGGACACTTGTTACATGCCGAAAGTTCATTTCGGCCGTCGATTCAGTATCGGAAGTAATATTTACCTATTTTGAATAAGCATGCGATCAGTCAATTAACCTTCCGCTTCTCATCATAGCCGATGTTAATATCGATGATTACTAAAGTGTGTTCGTTTGTTGACAGGTTTTCCCGCAGCGTACGCCGCCTACGCGGCAGGACGTAGCTATTCGGGCTATCCTAGCTTCGGGCTGCCCTACCCAGCAGGTAATCCCCTGGCGAGCTTGCACCACCAACTGTCCGGCAATCACTACCACCACCTGGCGACACTCCTGCCATACCACCCGCTCGAACTCAGCGGGGTTTACAATGTACACGCCATGCATCTGTGAGCTCGAGTCGCGACAATGCATTCCGCTAACCGCTAACAATCGCGACTAGCACTCGACCGCTTCCTACTGACATGCCACTCATCCACATTCGCCATTTTTACTGTGGTCACAATGTACTAACTGGCCATCTAGGTTAACTCGCCCTGTGTCGAAAGCTCATGCTAACTAACAACTCTACTAACAAGTTAATACCGTTGAATGACTGAACCATCTACATGAATTTGCCACACCGTCAATAACGATGCGTCCATGTTTTGGAAAGTGCTACTTATTGTTTATCTCCAGAATTTTGTCGAGACAATCCAGCCAATTGCGAGTGCCTCGCTCTTTGTTTGCAGACGATTCGCCCTAACGAACGATTCTCAAATGTTACGCGTCAGGCAAACACTCGAGCGTAAACAGCGAGCCCGCCTCCACCCGCCCGCTAGTACCGCACCATCACCCACACCTCATTAACAAAGAAAGCTTTTAAAAGAGATTTAAACAGATTCAAACAAAAGTACAGAAAAAATATGACGCCCTTTTTGTGGTGACTTCTATGTAAATCTCGGGAGGCACGAAAAAGAATTTTCACTAATTAAAAGTAGGAGCTACCGAAGGCTCCTGGCCGATCCCGTCGAATGAGACTGGAATGTTAATTTTTGAGAGGTCTTTATTATTCCTCGGAGGTTAGTTTGTTGCGTTCTCCCGTGAGGAACTAACCTTAGAGGAATCGGGCCGGGAGGGGGAGGAGCGCCGGGCGCAGCTGCTCAAATACTCTTCTCGTTATTTGTCCACACTCCGTGTTTGAGCCGCCGCTCGACCATAATTACGCCACTAAGCTTTGGCTTTCCACTTTTTTGTGGCTGGGCCGCAAGCCTTACAATTTTTCGGTACATACAACCAAAGTCTAGGACCGGCATTCCAAATTCTTAATTGTCCAAGCGATACGCAAAACGGAGTCGTCGTTTTTAGTGTATACTGAACGCAATTAACGATATCGTGGAGAGACCGGTGACCGAATTTGGTCAAGTTTTTCTTTGGTGTTAGTCGCACAAATCGTTCCGCGTTAATTACTTTCGAACAAGCTTTCGAACGATCGTTTTGCAGCACGCTAACCTAACGTTTCTGGTTTTCACAGTAACATTGTCTGTGGTTATAATTCCGTTTTATCATTAATTGTTAATGATATTTCATTAATATGGTACTATGCGAATATACAAATGCGAATTATGCATCAGTGGAAACATTGGTTCTAATAATACTAAAAAATCATTACCCGATATAATCACGTTGTTTTGTTATTAACTAAAAGAAAATTCTTGAACATTGTAACGTTTTTGTAATGCTTGTTGCATTTAAATTTTATGTTTCATCTAGTTACACCGAGAAACAAAGTTTCGCATGTGAAAATCTGTATAAACCACGTTGTGTAACAGGAAAGCAACGTGCGTGCCAGCTGCCCAGCCACAATTAATGTGTGCCTATTCCCCATTAGCATTCCTCAGCCGGCGCCTCTACCAGCTTATTGGTAACATCATCTACGATGCCGATATCTAATCTGCCATAAATTATAACATAATATGTCCGGTTGGAAGCGGTTAATTAAATTTCACGACGTGAATATTAATAAGGGGTACATAGAGCGGTAGACATCACGCGCTTTTAATTTCATTTTATTACGGCGACCGAGTCCTTTGACGCGGCAGATGCCGCAACGAAGTGCAGCTACGGCCGCAAGTTCGACGCGAGCCTTTAATATGGAATAGTCTCCAACTCGGAACTGGGAGAAGACAGTTTTAGAACGTATATATAAACAACTTTGTCGGTTTCTAATGGAACGGAATTAATTTTAAATTATACGCGACTGCTCACTTTCGAGGCGCTTTAGCGCGTTTTTATTGTGCAGTTACTTCGACTGATATTCGTGAACATTGAAAATTTATGGAGGAGTGTATATGTAAGCGAATAGTTAAAGCGCAAGTGTATATGAAATTTTTTGATTATCGTGATACGGCAGCCAAGTCAGACAAGTTTTTAATGACGAGTCTTGTAAAATATCAGGGGAGCTACTCTTTAAATTGACTTTCGATAATTAAATCGTAATCATCAGTGTCGTCCATCCTACTGTAATTTACAAAATTTTAATTCTGTAGAGTACGAATTGATATGACAAAGTTAACAATAAATCGAATTTCTGTTTCAAGAGTACACCCTCAATCTTAATCAGTAAACGTTAATAAATATTAATTTAGCCTAGACCGAAAATTTAGGTAGATTTGATAGGATATGTTTTATCTTCTTCCTCTCTAATTAAATTAGATTTAATCGTGTTTATCGTGAAGTAGTGAGTAGTGATTTGGTAGGTAGCATCCGCGTATTTATAAAAAAATAGAATTCCTCTACATAGCAGTATATAGTAGGATAGGCTTTGGATTTCAATAGGCATAGGTGAGACCGAACACAACGGTATGATTTGTAGGTTTTCATTAAAATGTATGAGATTTATCTTCACGCCATGGCAAATTTTGCGTCGGTATGATAACTATAAAGCCGGTTGAATAATTCACGAGTATTCTGTAATAAAATATGGATTCTTCTAATAATTTATAATTTCTTCTTTTATAGTCAAGTTTTTTACAAACTTTGTGTACAAAGTTTTCCGACTGCAAAGCCATCATTCCCTTATTTAATAGGCCTTGATAACTCTTTTTGAATATCGCCTGAGTTCATTACTAATTTAAATGTAAATGTAAAAAAAAACAATTCCATTTTTGAAAAAAAAAGTCGCAACTATTAAAACAACAAGTATCCTTAAATTTTATCACTGTGCCAAGCGCACAGACACTTTCATGTTTATAACGTAAGTTTCTTTAAAATTTACGTGAACCGTGTCCCCATTCTTATCTTAATGACTTAAACACCACTTAAAACATAGACCTCATAACGAGACACTTAAATTTCCTACGCATCTATCTACCAGTAATTGCTTCATATTTCCTGAAAACATAATGTTGTGTTCGGTCAGTAATACTTTGAAGAAAGTTTCTCATAGGTAATAATCAGATAATCTTAATAAATTAACGAATAGATAAGAACTATTAGCGTGTTAGAATTTAATTTCTAAATTACTAAGTTTAGAGGATGAGTACTAACCAACATTTAGATTATTTACCTTTGCATAGATAATCACTATGATTACGTAGAATTAGTTTAGATTGTTATAATTTGTCATTGTCATTTTACATTCGTTGTAACGATGAGAAATAAAAAAAAACAAACATTACGAGCTTGAAATGTGTTATTTTAATAAGTAATGAAATATTTGCTATGTTTGTAATATATTTAATTTTAATTTCAAAGTTATTTGTCTATTACATTTTATATTTACACTGCTTAAATGATAATGTTATTAATATATTTATCGTTGTTGTTACATATTTTTGGATGCAACTATTTTATGCAATCTCATTCGTGTTATTGTTAAAGTAAAGCGATCGAAACATCGGCGAAATTAAATTGGAAGTATGATATGGTCTATGCGTTTCGTACGAAAGAATGTCGACGTTAATAGCAATAAATCAAATTGCTTTGTCACAACACCTCGCAATAAATAATTTGTCATAAAATAAAATAATCTTCTCCTTTTCTTTTGCAAGAAGAAGGAAGTTGAGATATTTTTAAGTAAATTATTACTTAAATATAAGTTAACTATTCAAAGTTTAATCGCTGTGTGTGCGACCGTCCCTATCGCCATCCTCTAAACTAGTCATATGAGTAAGCTTGAAATATTGTATCGCATAATGTAAGATTACGCTAACGTGTGGCTACCAACATAGAGTACGTTAAAATTAAACTCGACCCATCTCACTAAAGTAAAGCCGTGTCGTCGTTAAAATAAGTCGAACTCTAATAAGGGATACATAAATTTATGATCAAACTGGGTCGGACCCTGACTTACCCCCATTACGTGATCCATTGCGTGTTCAGATATACTAATATCAAATGTATTATTCAGTAAATAACACCATGTTCTTGATACAGTTTTGACGATCGAGTCGATATTTAGAATAGCACGGAATGACCCCCAGCTCCTTGCATCGTGCCTACGCGTGATACCTACACGGATTGGGCCTCGATAACGAAACGTAGAGAAGTCAGTCTATCATTCCGTATCTATGCGTGCAAACAATTTTAAATAGCCCGAAAACAGTAAACAGGAAACTATCAATTCCAAGTTTCCCCATAAAGATTCGGCTAGTGGAGCTCCGGGCGATATTCTCCCTTCAATGTTCCTTTGCGCAGCATATATATTTTGTTTTGTGACTTTTGTTTTTCTCCCTTAATTTTTTAATAAGCGACTAGTGAGGGGACGGTTTTCAGGGTATGGTATTTGTTTGAGCGCGGTCCCCCGCATCTCGGTCGGCTTTGTAGCTTTTTTTTATTTTGTTGCCGCAGGTGTAGTGGGAGTTTTACCGCCGGAAAGTCGCCTCTTGGTCGGCGAGTACGTAGGCCCGGGTGTGCTGGGGCAGAACTAGTAAGCCGCCGCTGCTGCCTCGCCGCGCCGTCTCTATACCTCTCTCCCCGGACACACCCGTTAACGGCTTCCGGATTTTCTAACGAATACAAATAAATCTTTTCCCAAGCGAATATCTCTTTGATATTACCAACCCCTCGTTCTACCCCCAAGGAATGCAATGTCGCAAAGTCAGTTTCCATTATGCTCGAATTCGCAGATGCGTGATGCAGTTCGCCCGACTAGGTTTGCCCATATAGCCCGATACCAATTTACTTGTAAACGTTTTTGAATTGATTCAGAATAATTTACATTGCGGTATCCCTCAGGAAGTAATTCCAATAACATTAGATAAAGTAATTTAGGATCGTTTTTAATGC